TAGGGAAATCATTAACCTGCTCTCCTTTCTTTCCCCCCTCCTCTTTGGTTTCGTTTTTTTGTTTTGTGGTAGTCTGACCCTTGGTTATCATTACAGAACTATGGAGGTGCAATGAGACCCCCACTGAATGCTTTAGGTGGCCCTGGAATGCCTGGAATGAACATGTAAGCAAAATGCTGCCTTATTCTGCCTAGTAAAGTTTTTCTATTTTCTGTCTTCTAAGATGACTTTAATTTACAAAACAGTTTGAGCACTTCAGTCTCTTTGTGGGATAATAGAATGAACTGTACATGGCTGTAGTGTTAACTTCACTTTCATCATGTAATCTCATGTTTTTCTTCCTTCCCTTGCAACTTTTAAATTTTTTCTTCCATTTTCAGGTGTCAGAAATAAGAACTTTTAGCCTGTTTCTTTTTGATAAATGCATCGTCCTTATGTAGAATCGTGTAAGCAATATAAAGGGATGCTGACATGAGGACCATGACTTAACACTACTGAAGTAGAGAATCGAATACTGTTAACCTCATTTTTAAAGATACATAGAGCTTCCAAATAGTGGAATAGTTTTTAACTCTCAGAAAAATATATGAGTCTTTACTTTCGCTTTGTTTGTACCACTGTCTACACAGGAATAATTTTCTCTGGTAGTATCTTCCATATTAACAAATTTGCCATAGGAAGGATGAATTTTCTCTTGAAAATTCAAGATGTTCTTAGGTAAGAAGTAAGCTGAAGGGTTTGTTTGTTCAATTGTTTTGTTCTTCTTTTTACTAGAAAGGCCTTAACCCAAAAAGAGTGATTTGTTTCTGTCAGCCAATGCAATATGGTTTGTTAAAGAATTTTTATTTCTTTCCTATTATCCAACTTGCTCTCACAGTCCATACACACCAGGTACTTGTTACCGGTTTTCATTGATTTGCCAAAGGATCAGTTCCGTGATCTGTCCTAAAGAGATCTTACCAGAAATAATGAAAGTGTTCTGTGGAGGTTGGTGGGTGTCTCCTCAAGTATATTTTTTATCTGTTCATATCTTGGTAACTTACACATCAAATCGTACAACTCTGGCATCATTTAATGGCATTGAAGTTACACTGTGAAATAAGCTCTTTTGATGTATGTAGGGATTTTTTTTTTTTTTAAATTCTGAAACCATTTTCATGGAAAGCAGTTTTGCCTAAAATAGAAAATAGGTTAATTGGTGGGTACCAGGCAGACTCAAAGCTAAGAGAATGGGGAGAAAAAGTAGGTCAGATTTTTCCTATCACGTCTTTTAACTTTTAAAATAAAAATGGATAGACTCGAAGTCTGACTCTTTAAATTCCACAAACCTTAGCCTTTTATCAATGGTTGGTGCAAAAAAGAATGAGGGATATTGTGTTCTTATGTCAAAAACTGATACTCTTACCAAAAGGATAGAGGTAAATATAAATTTCACCTACCTGAGATTCTCACTTAAAATGCAGTTATTTTTGAGGAGTATAATTTTGAATACTTAATATTTTACTGTTTATAAAACTTCTACTTGTTAATGAACTTTTAAGCCTTAAAGACCTGATTTCCATTATTTGTAACTATTTTCTTTCATTTGGGGTCTTATAGTGTTTTTGGTTTTCTATAAATTTGGATTCCTTCAAGGTCAGTAAGATTCCCATAATAAGTAAACATCAAATAGGAAAGAGCCAACGAGAGAGAATAATTATTCTATTGATAGTGTTCCCAACAAAGCAAAAGTAAGTTTAAAGAGATATTTTAAAAATAAGGCTTATATTTATTGCACTCAATAGAGTAAGCTTTATTGAAATTCACTTTATAATTTATTATTTCTAATACAAAGTCTTAACTTTATGAAGGCAAACAAACATTTCTAACCAATATTTGTGGCTTTCTTCATGTCATTTCTTTTTCATGTTGACCTCCCCTACTTTAAAATGAAAGGAGGGACCAGTAGATGGCGTAATGGTTACATCGCTGGATTCCCATATGGTCGACACGGTTCAAGTCCCAGACCCGACAGCTTAAAACTCATGCCAGGCGTGTGTGCATGTTTACCCAAAATCCCAAGAGGTGAATGGAGGAGAAGGGATTGCAATGTGGCCATCCCCTTGAGGGATTGGTTTCTCGCTTTCTGTTTCTCTGACAAGTGCACGCACCCTATCATAAAAATCTCTCCAAAAGAAGGAAAGGAAAAGGCATTGGAATTGTCTAATGCCTTAAGCTGTGTCTTTCATTATTAAACTATTTACCTAACTAAAATATTTGTGTGTTGGGCCCTGCCCAAGAACCCTATCTAGATGATTTTTCTTTAGCATGCCATTTTTTTTCTCATTTACCTTGAGAATATAATAATAATGAAAAATAACCCAGTCCTGGTCACAAAGTAATTAAATACTGTATTCTAATTGTTACTATATCCTTTTATTGTAGAATAAACCATGTGAAGCAAAATTTTGATTACTTAATTGCTAAAAAAATTTTGGCCACTTCCAAAGAAAATGATTGCTCTGATATAATCTTTACGTTTCCATATGTTGTACTCAGGACACATTATACAAAATTTCATTTAAAATTAAAATAAAAGCTTATTTCAGTGTTTCTACAGTATAAATAATAATGCATCTTTTAAAAAGTAAAAAGCTTAGTATTAATTTTAGTAATTTAAAGCAAAATTTACAAACTATGACCATAATATAACTATGGCCGTAATATAAATGTTTTCAAATGCATTATAGATTAATGTTAAAAGGAAACTTAAATAGGGTAATTTCTTTTTTTTAATTTTTTAAAGAATTATTTTATTTAACTTTATTTATTTATTTATTTAAGTTTAACCAGAGAGGGACAGAGTGAGAGAGGGAGAGAAGGAAAGTGAAAAAGCAAGCCACCAGGTCCAGTACTCAAACTGTAGTTGACCTGTGGGAGTCCAGCACCTTTAACCACCATGCCACTGGCCAGCCCTAGGGATATATTTCTAAATTAACTACATTTGTACAAATTTCCAAAGCAATTATGATTTACTATTAAAGCATTTCTGATCCAACTTTGTATACCTTGCTGTTATACAGAAACTAAGAATACAAAAGCATTTCAAAGGATCTTTTTTTCTATTTCATATTTTATAGAATTGTAACATTTGTGTAGTTATCTTAAAATGTGAATTATAGAAGAAAAAAAATTCTCCTTCCTTTGGTAGTCATGGTTGCTTTGATTTCCTTACCAAAAAATTACAGGCATCTTTTAAATACCATTTCTCTCTGTTTTAGATCACCTGATTCTACTTCAAATTATACTTATATGAAAATTTTCATTCAAAATAATTTTTCTGAAGTTATAGTTTGTAGATTACTTTCATAATACTAATGACCTCAAAAGGCATTGAATTACTGAACTTAAGTAGTTGCTTTAATAGAATTATTCAGTACTATATAACCTCTATTTAGCGCTGTTTGCAAAACTTAAAATGTTTTCAAACACAATGGTAACAATGGGGGAAACTTAGCTTATCCATTTGAATTATTAATACTTGGTCTTTTATAATAGTGAAATAAAATTTAATATGAAATATGTAGTATTTAGGGAGTAGGTTATTTTATCAAACAAGTGAAATATATAAAAGGTATTTTATATTATTTATAGCATATATTTAGCATTTAATGTTATTTTTTAATTATTTAATTTTATTTGTTATTATCATCTTTTATCCAATTTGACCAGAGAGAGACAGAGAGAGAAAGAAAGGGAAAGTGAGAAAGCAAGCTGCCAGGTCCAGGACTTGAACTGTGTTCAACCATGTGGGAGTCTAGCACCCCAATCACTATGCCACCTGCCGGCCCAGCATTTAATGTTATTAAATAAACATGTAACTATTTTAACATTTAATTTAAATAGTATCATAATTTTACATTAGGCAATTTAAAAATATTACACTTAACACATCTTATTTATACAGCACTTGTTGAATCATAATTTAACTTTATTTATTTATTTATTTAAGTTTAACCAGAGAGGGACAGAGTGAGAGAGGGAGAGAAGGAAAGTGAAAAAGCAAGCCACCAGGTCCAGTACTCAAACTGTAGTTGACCTGTGGGAGTCCAGCACCTTTAACCACCATGCCACTGGCCAGCCCTAGGGATATATTTCTAAATTAACTACATTGGTACAAATTTCCAAAGCAATTATGATTTACTATTAAAGCATTTCTGATCCAACTTTGTATACCTTGCTGTTATACAGAAACTAAGAATACAAAAGCATTTCAAAGGATCTTTTTTTCTATTTCATATTTTATAGAATTGTAACATTTGTGTAGTTATCTTAAAATGTGAATTATAGAAGAAAAAAAATTCTCCTTCCTTTGGTAGTCATGGTTGCTTTGATTTCCTTACCAAAAAATTACAGGCATCTTTTAAATACCATTTCTCTCTGTTTTAGATCACCTGATTCTACTTCAAATTATACTTATATGAAAATTTTCATTCAAAATAATTTTTCTGAAGTTATAGTTTGTAGATTACTTTCATAATACTAATGACCTCAAAAGGCATTGAATTACTGAACTTAAGTAGTTGCTTTAATAGAATTATTCAGTACTATATAACCTCTATTTAGCGCTGTTTGCAAAACTTAAAATGTTTTCAAACACAATGGTAACAATGGGGGAAACTTAGCTTATCCATTTGAATTATTAATACTTGGTCTTTTATAATAGTGAAATAAAATTTAATATGAAATATGTAGTATTTAGGGAGTAGGTTATTTTATCAAACAAGTGAAATATATAAAAGGTATTTTATATTATTTATAGCATATATTTAGCATTTAATGTTATTTTTTAATTATTTAATTTTATTTGTTATTATCATCTTTTATCCAATTTGACCAGAGAGAGACAGAGAGAGAAAGAAAGGGAAAGTGAGAAAGCAAGCTGCCAGGTCCAGGACTTGAACTGTGTTCAACCATGTGGGAGTCTAGCACCCCAATCACTATGCCACCTGCCGGCCCAGCATTTAATGTTATTAAATAAACATGTAACTATTTTAACATTTAATTTAAATAGTATCATAATTTTACATTAGGCAATTTAAAAATATTACACTTAACACATCTTATTTATACAGCACTTGTTGAATCATAATATTTCAAAATTATGAGCTTCTTATCAGCTTAATGTCACTGTATGAAATCTTTTGCCATGATTTTGATATAGTTTGTTTTTTATGTTGTCATAAGATAAATATGCCCCAGTTTCTTTACTGGGATTTGTTTAGCATCAAACAAATCATGTGGGTCTTACTACCCAAACGTTTTACTTGATCATCACATATCCTTGTTTTGTCTTAGTTGCTGCCCATTAAGAATCCTACATCTAAAATCATCTTCTAAAGCATTCAAGTAATTGTGAAATCATCAAAATCATCACCTTAGAAAGGCAGCGATTTCCAGAGACAATATAAGGGCCTCTCACTTTCCTCCCTATTCACAACACTTTAGATCTCTTCTATTCTTTAACCCTAATTGGGAAAAAAAAAAATTTTTTTTTTTTTGAGAGATTTTCGCTATAGGGTGCATGCGCTCGCCAGACAGACAGACAGAGACATAAAGACAGAAAGTGAGAAATCACCCCCAGGGGGGATGGTCACACTGCAATCTCTTCTCCTCCATCCTCCTCTTGGGATCTTGGGCACACATGCACACGTGACCGGCGTGAGTTTTAAGCCACCGAGTCTGGGACGCGAACCACGGTCGACTACATGGGAGTTCAGCAACATAGCCATTACGCTAACTGCTGGTTCCCTAGAAAAAATTCTACTTGAACAGCTCTAAAACAGCCCAAGGATAGGAGTTAAGTCCTTGTCTGCTCCTTACATCCCTATGGAATCAAATAACAAAACTAAAATCAGTTTTACATATTCCAACCAAACACAGGCAGTATAATAACTGACTGGGACCAGCGGATGTAATGGTTACATCACTGGACTCCCATATGGCTGTTCAAGTCATGGACACAGAGGCTTGAAACTTACACTGGGCATGTGTGTGTGTGTGTGTGTCCAAAATTCTGAGAGGTGAATGAAGAAGGGATTATGGCATGACCATTCCCCTGGGGGTTATTTCTCACTTTCTGTCTCTCTATCTTTCTCTGTCTCTCTGGCAGGTGCACATGCTCTCTAGCAAAAATCTTGCCAAAAAAAAATTAAAATAAAAAAATAATTAACCAAGACAGCCTTTTGATCTAACATTTAGGACTTTAGGTTTAAAGACTCTAAGATCAAAGGACATATTTTGTTGTTGATATTAATGTTTTATTTTTTTTTTAATTTTGTTGTCCTGGTAATGAAAGGGAAAGGAATTTCTAATGACCCTAATTACAAAGGGCCTACTGACAGTAGACTATTTTCATAAGACAGTATCTATTCAGGTATACATAGCAATATAGCTTGAGGACATGAAACCTTTTTGATTTAATTATTTGGACATTAATTTTGTATTAAAAGCTTTAGGTCTTTACAAGCTGTGAAACACAAAACATTCTCCTCCACTCTAAAACAAAGTAGTATATTGGGAAACATTAGCACAGATTACCCCCTATTTTTTCAAAATTTATGCTGACCTCTGTCTTGAACTAAAATTATGTAGACAAGAAATGGAATCCCTTATTTAATAGTCACTAAGTCATCAGTAGCACTTTAAGATAGTTCATATAGATAGGCAAAGTAACATGATACTCATTGTGTTTCTTTTAAAAGAGAACAACTTAGTGGCCTTTTATGTATATTTATTTATTTGTAACTTAATAAGAGCAATTGCTTTATAAATACTAATTCACAAGTAATTTCATTTTCTTTTTTTTTTTGGGGGGGAGAGGTTTTTGCTATAGGGTGCGTGCACTTGCCAGACAGACAGACAGAGACAGAGAGACAGAAAGCGAGAAATCACCCCCCAGGGGGGATGGCCACGCCGCAATCCCTTCTCCTCCTTTCTCCTCTCAGGATCTTGGGCACGTATGCACACGTGCCTAGTGTGAGTTTTAAGCCACCGGGTCCAGGACATGAACCGCGGTTGACTGACTACGTGGTAGTCCAATGACATAGCCATTACGCTAACTGCTGGTCCCCCAGTAATTTCATTTTTGATGAGACACAGGTAGCACTGCATATTGATACCACAAGATTACATTTATTTTATAATTCTAACTTTTTACTACAAAAGTATGTTTTTATAATTATTTGGATATGACTAGACATTTACTGATACAGATAGTTATCATTTTAAATTCATTGTAATAGGTATTTAATATTAAAATTAAACTGGGCTTACAAAAAGTAGTTTGACTTAGGAAGAAAACAGTTCATGGAATGATAAAAAAAATTTTATTTAAGAAATTAAACAGCTATTAAAATATGGGGATGGCAGGGGGAGTGATGGTTGAGGTGCTAGACTCTCAGATGGCTGACTATGGTTTGAGTCCTGGACCTGGCAGCTTGCTTTCTTGCTTTCTCTCTCTCTCTCTTTCTCTCTCTCTCTCTCTCTCTATCTCTCTCTGATCAAATTTAAAATAATAATGAATGAAATTAAATAAATAATTATTTTTTATAAAATAGCTATTAAATACAAAGAGACTAAGTTTAGCCCTGGAATTAAACTACATAGTTCATTGAATGTAAATATTACTAGTTTATACTTTATTATTTACTGTAGCATTCAAAGCATAGGTTAAAATTTCACTTATCATATTTTTTCCTAGGGGTCCAGGTGGTGGTAGACCTTGGCCAAACCCAACAAATGCCAATTCAGTGAGTATATATAACTTTTCTTAATTTCTTTGCACTTTGTAACATTTAACAAAAACAGCAAAATTCCATTGCTTTTAAAAGCCTTACGATTGATTCTCTTCTTTTTGAAAACTAATCATTAAAAATATTTGCTTATATTCTTAGAAAAATATGCATAATTTCTGAAATAATGTCATTTTTTTCACTCCTAACTGTAATATAAACATACGTCCTATATCAGCAGACTTTAAAAAGTAAAGGTAGAAATGTGATTTAAGTATACCATAGTTGCCCACATAGTGCCCTGTATTTATCATAAAATGTTCTGATCGTCTAAACTAACCATAATAATCACTAAGTTGGAGCCTCTATTAGATGAAACCAGATTATTATTGATCACACATGTGTTTGCTCTTTTGCTGTCCCAGGAAGCAAGTGCACATCTGCCTTGTGTTTCTTAGCTAAGCTGCCCTCCCTGCACATCTCTCTATGTGCCTTCCGTCCTGGGGATTCTCTTTTTGTCTCTATGGCAGTAATTTGATTGCATTATTTTCTCTCTATTAGTAATGTCCCATAAACATATGTACCTGTTAAACAGTAAGCTATCGGGGTCAGCAGGTGGTGAGGTGGTTAAAGCCCTGAATTCCCATATAGAGTCCTGGTTCGAGTCCTGGACCTAGGGCCTTGAAAATAACACCAAGCACATGTGCTTGTGTGCCCAAAATCCAGAGAGGAAAATGGAGAAGGGATGGCAGCGTGACCATCCCCCTTGGGGGTAATTTCTCACTTTTCCTTTCTCTGTCTCTTTCTGATGAGCACATATGCCCTATTGCAAAAGAAAGAAAATTAAGCTATGAATCTTAAAATTAATTTGATTTTAATCTCATAACCCTGGAGCTGATTTTCTTGACTTGGAAACCTTGAGTTCTTCAGTGTGTGAGCAAGATTTTCCCTGTACATTGGTGTCCATACTACACAAAAAAGCCTGGGTCGAGTGGGTCAGTATGGGGCTGAAATTCAACCTGTGTTCTACTGGCAAAGTCTATGGGCATCTACCCAGAAGGGATATCCTTTGCTGATATGTGCAAAGTGACCTTCAGTAATTAACAGTGGCCTTAATGGTAAATAAACATGAAAGCGATCCAGTACTTAAGATTAATTTAAACTTCAAGACAGTCAAAAATGAGCTATGTGTGGTATAAAAAGAGTCATCCTAAAACCATTGTTAATCTAAAGCAGAAATACTTTCTTGTCAAGTAAATACCTGTCTTGTTTTTAGGAAAAATATTAACTTATTTTACCTGCTTTTCTGTTAGTTTTAACAGCTATTGACATTTGCCAGTTAAATGAAATTATTTCATGTAGAAAGAATGACATTGCTTTCCGTTGGTCTTTGGTGGGCTATTTTTTTATTATCATAATCTTGTTTATATTACATTGAATCACATATAACTTTACAGTGTATTACCTTTCTTTTTCCAGAAGGAATACCATGTGTATCAGTCAGTACAAAGACATTAAAATCCCCATCATCATCAAATAGCTTTTCATTATTTTTTTCCAGATTATTATTATTATTATTATTTCAATTATTTTTTTAAACATTCAATCACTATTTATCATTTTGCTTGTAAAAAGACTTCACTCAACCTGAAATACTTCTCAGACCAGTCCAGTTGAGAATACTATACATGTCATTATCATGGTGGACTATTTAATTTTAGCAAATCTTCTTCTAAGATAGTATTTTGCCAAATCATATTCTAATGTGAATACCATTATGTCTTCAAAATTCTTTTAGTTTGCTTGTATGCTTTAGAAGAATGTGCATTTTTGTTTGCTTCATGCTATTTGCCGTAACTGACTCATGAACAATGGTATCTGGCTAGCAGCTCAAGAAACACTTCTTTGAACTTCTTATTAAAATGGGCACAATGGAGCTGGCCCTATAGCTTAGTGATTAAGAGAACTGGCTCCCACATGGCTAACAATGGTTTGAATCCTGGCCATGACCTTTGTGAAACATGCTAGGTACACAAGTGCAGCAACCCAAAATCCTGACAGGATGGAGAAATGGAGGAGAAAGGATTAAGACCTGATCATGTCCCATTGAGGGGCGATTTCTCCCTCTTTTTCTCTCTGTGTCTATGTAGCGAGTGTACATGCCCTCTTGCAATTAAAAAAGATAAGTGCCCATGACAATACAGAAAATACCATTTTATTTTTACTACTAAAAACTGACAATCTTCATAGTACCAAAATCTGGAAAAAATTTTCACTCTCTGTATGTCTGATGACCCTGGATTGAAAAGCACAACCAGGCCCAGCTTCAGTGGTGCAGAGAGCAATGTACTGACCCACGGTGCTTGAAGCCACATATCCAGTCCTGAATTTGGACCCTAGGTCAACCTGATAAACACCAAAATCATATGCACACCCAGGATCCTGAGTAACTGGAGGACTGAGGGAAGGAATTGCAGTATGATGAGACCTCTTGAGGATGCCTGTCTGTCCATGTCTCTGTCTCTCTCTCTCATCAAAGAAATAAAATAAGTAAACTTAAAAGTACAACTCATGTTCCATCTTAATCATGTAAGCCTTTCCTTCTAGAAGCAAGAAGAACCTACTCTCCTTCCTCATTGTCAGCTCAGTCAACCATTATTCTACAGCCTATTTTTGGCAGCCAGAGTACAGTTCACATCCATCAATACCCATAGCCATCAATACTTCCTTTTATAGACATATCCAGACATGCTATTTCCCAAAAGCAACTTTAGAAGGTAGCAGGGTTGAGGGGTTGATATTGAGGAAGGTGCATTATATCTAAGGGGTTTATTAACCAAGTAAAGAGTGTTACATAGAAACAAAGAAGAGGAGAAACCTCTGTATTCTGATGATTTTAGTTTTTCAGGTACTCCATCTTTTCAGAATTTAATAGAGCAGGGCACTATGAGTAGGAGAATGTATGATAGCATGTTAGCAGCTCTGCACCATTTCCGACCCTGAGAAACATAGGGGTTAGGGTAGAAGCTGTGTACATTGCACTGATGCCCAGCGGCCAGTCTGAAATGGACATTGGACCAGCACATAGGTAGGAAAATAGATAGAGCCAACAGCCGTCCCCTCAATATAAGCCAGGCAGAGACATCTGCCCTCACTCACAGTGTGTAAATAGTGAAAAGGCGTGGGGAAGGCCTGTGGCTTTCTCTCGAGAAATTGTTCATTACCCTGAGCATGCAAGGAAAAGCATTCCTCTGAAAATGACTTACTATGAAAACAAAAGTCATAGAAAACTGATGACTTTCTCACAAAAAATATCGGGCTTTCTCTATAAAGCAGGGGCAAAATGTATCAAGGAGAGACTTTATTCCTCACATACCGTTGATTATTCTGTACTGACAATTTCTCTGTATTATTTCAAATTCCAAGTTCCTCAGACTTCCTGAAAGACTTTTTAGTTTCTATCAATTTGGTAAGGCTCTGACTCTTCAGGGCAGCCTATTAAAGTGATTGTTTTGTTTTTGCAGTTTTCGTGTATGTTTTATTTATTTTTTCCTTTAAATGTTTATTTTGAAGTAACTTCAAATTTACAGAAGAGTTGCAAGAATAGTACATAGAATTCCCATAAGCCTTTCACCCAGATTCCCAAGTGTTAATGTTTTACTACATTTGCTTTATGAGTTTGTCTATATATAAACATATTTTTTCCTGAAGCATTTAAATTTCCTGAGACTTTATTCTCAAATACTTCAGTGTGTTTTCTAAAAACAAAAGCATTATGTTCCATAACTCCATATAAAGATCAAAATAAGGAAATTAACATGATGGGATGCTCTTTTCTAGTCTATAAACCTCGTTTAGATTTTATCAATGTCCCAACAGTATCTTTTATATCAAAGAAATTCCAGTTTACTTGTTGGATTTATCTGTCATGCTTTTTTGGTTTGTTTGCTTCTTTTAGTCTATCTCAACCTTACATTTTGTTAAATGCAAATCAGTTACTATTTAAAATATTCTATAATATGGATTTGTCTGATATTTTTTCATGGTTAGATATAGGATATACATATTTGTCATGGTTCTCTACTATAAAATTATTTTTCCCTTTGTAATTATTAACTTGGAGACATACCTTGAAACTAGACAAAATATCTTTTTCCTCCTTACTCCTGCTATTTTTGGCATTTATTAATAATTTTTGCCTGAACCAGTTTTTACTTCTCCATTTATTAGTTAGATTTCTGCTATAACAAAGAGTTGTTCTTTCATATGTATCAAAGGAACTCATTGGTTATTGTATTCAGTTAATTTAAGAGGCTAAAATCGTCTCAAATTTGGCCAATGAGAACCTCTGCAAGCTGGGTTATTTGTCCTTTTAACATGTCTCAATTATTCTCTGAATACTTTGAAGCTCTTCTTATATTTTCCTGTGAAAATGGCCATTTCTCCAAAAAGTATTGGGTTGGTCATTTAAAAATGAAGAAATGGAAGTCCTTTAGTTGTTTCTCTGCCTCATGCCATAATACCACAATCATGGTTTGTAGGACTCAGGATACTGTCACAACTCTTGAATTATCTAATTAGACAATATATCTATCCCTTAATTTTCTTTGTCAAATACAAGCTGAGTATCAGTAATCTGAAAGGCCCAATTTCAAAATCTTTCAAAGTAATGAAACTTTTTGGGGTCAACATGATGCTACAAGTAGAAAATTCTATAGTTGATCTCATATGATATCACAATCAAAATGATGCAATTAAAAATATTGTATAGAGCCAGCTCCTTGGCCTAGTGGTTATGGGAGCTTGATCCCACTTGACCCAATTGCAATTCAAGTCTCTGCCATGGTAGCTTGAAAAACACACTGGGCACATGTCCATACATACTCAAAACCCGACAAGAAGGAGAAGTGGAAGAGAAGAGATAGCAATGGACTATGTCCCATTAGGGGAGTACTTTATCCCTCTCCCTCTCTCTGTCTGTCTCTCATGCAAGCGCATGTACCCACTGGCAAATTAAA